TTACCCCGCCATGGCAGTTGCTATCCAAGAAAAATCTTAGGGAAAAATTCTCCATCCAGAACCAAGTAATCTTTATTTGACAGCAAAAAATTGAGAGGAGAAGGCTTTCCAAGTTAGGTCTCTCCGTGCAGGTCATGTGGACTTTGCTGAAATATAGAAAATTGTTGACAAATAGCATCTACTTCCTAATTTGAGAAACATTCTTTTAGTTGGCATCAGCTGTGGGTTTGATCCTTTGAAACCACTACTGGGAACTACTTAAGTTTCTACAAACAGTTCTAGATAAGAACTTACATAATTAGTCACTCAAGGTGCAAGTTTTGGCATTATTGGCACTGACTGGGTATAGGTGGGCAACCGTCACCTTAATTTCTTGGTTTGTGCAGGCTGCATTTAAGTTGAATTTGCCAAAAGTGGGACCTACCTATCATTTTATACGCTTTACACAACCCTCCTTACGACCTTCTCTACAGCACTTACCTAAACTTTCTAAACCTTACCCTCAGAGTTGGGAATTGGTGTTGCCACATTCCCTCTGGCATGTGGAGACAAATCCAATCTAAGAAGCCTTAAAGATACGGTATCTTTAAGGCTTCCAGTCTTCTTCAAACAACTTTGCTAGCCCCTTCTGTGTGGATATGGTTGTTTCTTTTTATTTCTTTGGGACTTCAGTTATCTTTTCAACTATGGCTTCTAATAAAATATTCCTTTTTTTTCTATGTTCCTCCCTGTGATTTTTAGCTGGCTACATTCTGTGAATATGCTGCCATAAAATAGCTAACAGGGGCATTCGTACCATAAGATAATTTGAGGAGGCTTCCTCAGGCAGCAACTATAGAGCAATGGCACTGAGGCCAGAATGTCTGCATGGACACACTGGTCTCAGCACTGTTCAGTAAGGCTGAGTCTGGTAAAATCACAGGCTCAGGGTTACAGATCTGCCTGTCTTAGCCACTGCACCTGTCACACAGGCAGGTTCAGCATTCAAGGCTCCTTAGTGCAGACTCAATGGGATTGATTTACTAAAATATTTTCACATTGCAAGGGAGTATTTACTTTAGCTTAGTGAATGCGGTGAAAATTCACTTTGCAAGGAATACCCAATCACATGCAAGGAAAAAAAAAAAATACTTTAGTTTGCACATGATTGGACAATTGGAAGTTGTACTGGGTCATACCAGAATTTCCGTATGTTTAGTAGTACTTGATATGAGATCAGAATGCAAAAAAAACATGAACAATCATTCACCCGACATTCTTATGGTGTGTACTAGGCATTAGGGTGGTTTGTTAGCGTATGTATTTAGTCCTGGCAGCATCACTTCCAAAAGTGATGTACCCTGCGGGCTGGTTCACACCAGATGCGTTTCTGCATGAGCATTTTTTACATGCTTTTGATGCATTTTTGCATTTTTTTTTTGCATTTTGAATTGTGGTGCGTTTGTATCCCTTTTTTTCTTCGTCTTAATTGGGACATGTGAGTTCCGGTGCATTTTGTCATGTTCCAGTACAGTTCTGTGAAGAGAAAATGCTGCATGTTCTACTTTTTTTCTGCACTGAAACTGACTGCACTGGCACAAACTATGCTATTGGAATCCATATACCTTACTACCATATACTATACTACTGTCCATGCATTTTTGATGCAGAAAAAAAGCACTGGACTTTGCATCTGGTTCTCTTTCAGAGCTCTCTCATGAATGAAGACACTTGTGCATCCTCATTCATGAGAAAACATGTAAGATCATGAATGGTGCAGAGCTGGTCAGGGCTGGATGGGACTTGGGTGACATCAAGCTTGGAGGGGCTGTGCTGCTTGAACAGACACCGAAAAGGGTACCAGGAAGTACCTGTGAGCAGCCATATTCGGTTGCACAGGCACAACATTATCGGCGAAGGAGAAGAGGATCACTAAATATCTACATTAGATGGTTGTTTCTAAACAGACAGTTAGCAATTCAAATAAGGTTTCTTAAAAAAAGTTTATTATAATATTCATACAAATAAAGGGTAGTTTTTTTATTTTTAACTGGAATTCCACTTTAAATCACTAAATGAAGCAATGAATCCGATGAAAACAGGCTTTTTGTATCAATAAATTGTCAAATATATCACAATTCTGTTTCTTTGAACTTTGTAACACTTTGGAACATCATGTCCTGTGCATACTGAACAGGGCTGCTGTTAGAAACCATACAGCCAACCTGACAGCCCCCCCCCCCCCCAAAAAAAAAACCAAACAAACCTGCACTTCAGTTATGAATGAACACAGTGAGAGATCTGGATTTATCACTTATTGTGTTAACTCAGGAGGGAAATGGACTGGTAAATATGACGTTTATCTGACCCTTCTCCCACTCTCTATCCTGAAGGATCCTATTGTGTGCTTGCAGCTGTCGGTAAGAATGGGCTTGGGCAGCAGGGGAGAATGTATCAAGCACAGGGAGGGAGATGGGTGTGGCGGGGGGAAATTACTGGAACCGATCCTTTATAGCAGCTGAAAGCTAGTGAGAGGGAGAAGAGAAGAAGCCAGCTTTCAGCTGCTGTGGAAAGAGCCATACAGGGGATCGGTTCCAGTAATTGCCCCCACGCTGTGCTGATCACCCTATCTGCCCTCATCTGATTCACCCAGCTGCCTGGACCCCCCAGGTGGCCTGGGCCCTGTGCAGGAGGACTGGTGGTACCCCCTTATCCACAGCCCTCATTTGGAAAGGGACAGAGATTTGACTTGCATTACAGTAAGCAATATCCCTTTAGTTGCCAATAGTGTTGCCAATAGTGTAGACTTCAAAGTGAGAAAAAAGGTGCTATATTTTTAAACATCCTGTAAACATAAGGATAAAGGCTATTGCCTCCTGCTGTGTTTCAGCCACTAAACTACTGTAGACAGTAATAACAGGCACTCAATTAAAGTTAACTATATTGGTTTTAAAGTTGATTTTTGTTCAAAATTTATACCTTGTAACTGTTGTTTTTTATCTGTTTATAACCACTTGCTGCCTACCCACTGTAGTTTTACTGGGAACGGGTGGCCCATCAAGGCTGGGTGATGTACTGGTACATTGCCCAGCACATATGCACTAGCACATTACCCGGAGTGCACAGTGGCACAATCCTGTCACTGCTGTTGTGTCCAGCGAATCATAGCGATCACGATATTTATGTAAGCAAACTGTCATGAATGGGTTTCTGGGTCGTACATACAGCTTGAATATGGTTGTGATGCTGTGATTGGCCCACAGCTATCACATGGTACCTGGCTACCACTATCATGACACTGAACTACTCTGATCAAAGTATGTGAAAAAAAAGTAAAAAAAGAATAGAAAAGTTAAAATATTAATAGTTAATAAAATATTATTTAATTTTTTTTCTTTTTTGTTTTAATATACTGTCACCAGTCATACGATGATGCTGTACTGCACCGGTGACAGTATGTAAAAAAAAAAGTGAATAAAAACACAAATTTTTTAATTCCTTCATTTTCCATAAAATTGTGACAAAAAAAATGACAACTTCAAATAACTTGCAATGCCTCTTACTAAATACCTTGGAATGTCTGCTTTCCAAAAAGGGGTCATTTGGGGGGGTATATGTACTGTCCTGGCATTTTAGGGCCTCAGTGAGATAGTCCTTCAGTACATTAGAATTGATCAATTATCAAAAATATATACAATAGTTTGTAGACTCTAGAACTTTCACACACACTAAATAATATACACTATTTTGGGTTGTTTTCACAAATTTTTTTTAGCAAAATTCATTTTGGCCTAAATTCATGAAAAGAGTGCAAAGTTTTATAACAGAAACTAAGAAAACTAAGAAAATAGTTAATACATTTTATTTATATAGCACAAAATAAAAAAACCCAGTGATTAAATACTACCAAAAGAAAACTTTTGTGTCAAAAAATGTATAAAAATTTAATTTGGGTGCAGTGTTGCATGACCAAGTTAAAGTAGCACAGTGCTGAATAGCAAAAAAAAATGCCCTGGTCATGAAGAGGGTAAAACCTTCTGGAGGTGAAGTGGTAAGATAAGTAAATAATCTTTGTTTTACAAATAAAGTATTCTCAAAACACTATGGCTTAGCTAACAAGTAGCGATGAGCCAAATTTGGGTGGGTTCACCGAACATTACTGAAGTTTGGGTGCTTAATCCAAACAACATTGAAGTCAATGAGAGCCAAATCTTACAAATCAGTCATGGCCATTTTTTAACCTCCCTAGCGGTCTGATTATGTCCAGGTCAGACCCCACCCTGTCTGCCTTTAGGCGCTCTTTGAAAACTCATTTATTCAGGGAAGCCTACCCCACCTTCACTTAAGAACTGTAGTTGAATCACCTCCACCAGATCATCCCCCGCAGCTATCACCTCCCCCTTCCTTTAGAATGTAAGCTCTATGAGCAGGGCCCTCCTATTCCTTCTGTACTGAAATGTATTGTAATTGTACTGTCTCACTTATATGTTAACCTCCCTAGCGGTATGATTTTGTCCATATTTCTGTGCTCAAAGCGGTACATTTTTTTGCATGGAAATATGTATTTTTTTTTATTGTAGGCCTGTAATTTTTAGGAATAACTCACTGAAATCTGTCCGAATAAGAGTCTAGTAAACATCCCGGGTATGATAAAATTTGAAACACAAAATCATAAATTATAATTTAATAAATAATCATAAAAAATAATAATATAATAATAATAAAAATTTAATTCAATAATATAATCAAACCAAAAACACTGAAATTTGAAATATAGCGCCAAGTTTGCACATCACTGAGCAAAGTCGCAAAATCGTTTTCAGTGTCTGATGAGGAATTCCCCCACGAATCATTATCACTCAATTCTGCAAGTGGTTCTAACTATCACTGTTCTCTAGCTGGTCTAAAACCGATTTTGACCTAAAGGGACACTTTTTGGACACCATGGACATTTCTCAGTTTCCAGGCAGAAAGAACAGTCAAAATGCAGGCAGGGTACAGGACAAAGCACTAGGGACAAAATATATGTGAAATGGTTTGATACAGTAATGTTTTACTATGCGATTTTAGTGAATTTAGTGAATGTCACTTTTTGTCATTTTCAAATTTCCCGCCGTTCCGTCCCCGTACGTCCCGACGCTCGCAGGGGACGGAACCCAGATGACAGATGCCAGCATCCGCCGGATTACATTGCCTGGGACACCGTAGGAGGGACATCGCGGGAGCGCAGGACAAGGTAAGTGAAGAACAGATGCCGGAGCAGCGATGCATGGTAAGCCCGAGTGTAGCTTGGTATACCGCTTTTGGTACTGAAACTTTACCCCGAGCTACACTCGGGAATACCGTCAGGGAGGCTACGCTAATAGGCAGGGGCGTTTGAAACAAATGGAATTCTGTATGATAGAGAGCAGCAATTTTAATAATGCTTTATGGACAACATTAAAAATTAAAAATTCCTCTCAATAACATGCTTGGGGTATGCCCTCACACAAAAATATGGTGTAGTGCCCCCCTAAAAATCAAGGATAATGGTGCAGTATAGATTTTAAATAGGACCCCCTATGCAAGTAAAAGACAAGTAAAAAAAAGTGTAGAGAACCCCCAAAACCCATAGCAGACCCTTATCCAAGCATGTGACATGGGTAACCAGGAAAGGGGGGGTAAGTGTGCACCCCAATCTTTCTGAACCATACCAGGCCACATGCTCTCAATATGGGGAGGGTACCTTTCAAGGGGAGACCTGGCAAAGCACCTTGTGTCCCTATTGATGAGGACAAGATCATCATCCTCACAATCCTGACCCAGTAATTTTGGGGATCTTTGGGTGGGGGACTTCTCAGAATTTGGAATTCCCCTTTAAAATAAGGGGGCACCCTAGTACTGGCCTACCCTACATAAATGACTAAGGGGCACACAATACCAATACTCATTAAAAAAAATGTAAGTAGTAAATAAACACACTTTTTGACTAGCCCTTTATTTAAAAAAAAAAAAACAAAAACCACTATGTAATTCTATCTTCAAACACATCATCCATTGATTTTGCTCCTCCTCAATCCCAATGAATGATACCGGATGACCTGCACGATCCCGTTGCCCACTCACAGCTAATGACAGCTCCCAGTTTCCACCACTGGAGGTAAACTAAGGGGCGGAGTCTCCCAGGTAATATCACTAAATAAGGATATGACCCTTTTGTTTTCATTCCACAGCTGGGAACAGGAGCCCCCCCCCACCTACACACACACACACACACTCATCCCACCTTTCCTGGCCTGTTTGTGGATGGATTTTTTTCATAAACTCCCATAGAATGAATTAACATCATGTATTTATCAGAATTAAATATTTTTTTTTAGGGACATAGGTCCTTCAAACGCTATCTAAACTGTTGTTATGTAGGATGACAGGTATTCAGCCAGCCCTGGTACTGCAGCTCATAAGGCAGCTGAGTCCCACTATTGCTGGCCAGTCCATTCCTGACAGTACCCCCCCCTCAAGGAGCGGCCTCAGGACGCTCCAAACAGTCCTAGCTGGGCAAAATGTTCCACCGCCCGGGTCTGGTAACTGGCGGGATATCAAAGACTGGCACACCGGGCAGGACTCCGGGCAGCGGCACACCGGGCAGAGGCACATCGGGCTGGACTCCGGGCAGAGGCACATCGGGCTGGACTCCGGGCAGAGGCACATCGGGCTGGACTTCGGGCAGAGGCACATCGGGCTGGACTCCGGGCAGAGGCACACCGGGCAGAGGCACACCGGGCAGAGGCACACCGGGCAGAGGCACACCGGGCTGGACTCCGGGCAGAGGCACATCGGGCAGGACTCCGGGCAGAGGCACATCGGGCAGGACTCCGGGCAGAGGCACATCGGATTACCAGGCGAAGCAGAAGGCAGCGGGCCACCAGGCGGAGCAGCAGGCACCGGGCCCCCAGGCGGGGCAGCAGGCACCGGCCCCCCAGGCGGAGCAGCAGGCAGCGGGCCCCCGGGCGGTGCAGCAGGCAGCGGGCCCCCGGGCAGAGCAGCAGGCACCGGGCCCCCGGGTGGGGCAACAGGCATCGGGCCCCCGGGCGGGGCGACCGGCATCGGGCCCCCGGGCGGGGCGACCGGCATCGGGCCCTCAGGCGGGACGACAGGCGTCGGGGCCCCCAGGCGGGGCGACAGGCGTCGGGCCCCCCAGGCGGGGCGACAGGCGTCGGGCCCCCAGGCGGGGCAACAGGCCTCGGGCCCCCAGGCGGGGCAACAGGCATCGGGCCCCCCAGGCGGGGCAACAGGCATCGAGCCCCCAGGCGGGGCAACAGGAATCGGGCCCCCAGGCGGAGCGGCGGGCGCCGGACCCCCAGGCGGAGCGACAGGTCTCGGGCCCTCAGGCGGAGCGGCGGGCGCCGGACCCCAGATGGAGCGACAGGTCTCGGGCCCTCAGGCGGAGCGGCGGGCGCCGGACCCCCAGATGGAGCGACAGCTCTCGGGCCCTCAGGCGGAGCGGCGGGCGCCGGACCCCCAGGTGGAGCGACAGGTCTCGGGCCCTCAGGCGGAGCGGCGGGCGCCGGACCCCCAGGTGGAGCGACAGGTCTCGGGCCCTCAGGCGGAGCGGCGGGCGCCGGACCCCCAGGCGGAGCGACAGGTCTCGGGCCCCCAGGCAGAGCGACAGGCCTCGGGCCCTCAGGCGGAGCGACAGGTCTCGGGCCCTCAGGCGGAGCGGCGGGCGCCGGACCCCCAGGCGGAGCGACAGGTCTCGGGCCCTCAGGCGGAGCGGCGGGCGCCGGACCCCCAGGCGGAGCGACAGGTCTCGGGCCCTCAGGGCGGAGCGACAGGTCTCAGGCCCCCAGGCGGGGCGGCGGGCGCCGGACCCCCAGGCGGAGCGGCGGGCGCCGGACCCCCAGGCGGAGCGACAGGTCTCGGGCCCCCAGGCGAAGCGGCGGGCACCGAGTCACCAGGCACGACAGTGGGCTCCGAGTCAACTGGCATGACCGCTGGCACTGGGTCAGACATTGGATCGTCTGGCTGGACAGCGGGCATCGGGTCACCAGGCATCAGGTCATTTGGCTCGACAGCGGGCACCGCGTCATCTGGCAAGGCAGTGGGCTCCGAGTCAACTGGTATGACCGCGGGCACTGGGTCAGACATTGGATCGTCTGACTGGACAGCGGGCATCGGGTCACCAGGCATCAAGTCATTTGGCTCGACAGCGAGCACTGCGTCATCTGGCAAGGCAGTGGGCTCCGAGTCAACTGGCATGACCGCGGGCACTGGGGCAGACATTGAATCGTCTGGCTGGACAGCGGGCATCGGGTCACCAGGCATCAGGTCATTTGGCTCAACAGCGGGCACCGCGTCATCTGGCAAGGCAGTGGGCTCCGAGTCAACAGGCACGACAGTGGGCACCGGGGTCATCAGGTACCGGATTGTCTGGCTCGACAGCGGGCATCGGGTCACCAGGTATGACAGCGGGCACTGGGTCACCAGGCATCAGGTCATTTGGCTTGCCAGCGGGCACCGCGTCATCTGGCAAGACAGTGGGCACCGGGTCACCAGGCATTGGATCGTCTGGCTCGACAGTGGGCATCGGGTCACCAGGTATGACAGCGGGCACTGGGTCACCAGGCATCAGGTCATTTGGCTTGCCAGCAGGCACCGCGTCATCTGGCAAGGCAGTGGGCACCGGGTCACCAGGCATTGGATTGTCTGGCTCGACAGCGGGCATCGGGTCACCAGGTATGACAGCGGGCACTGGGTCACCAGGCATCAGGTCATTTGGCTCGCCAGCGGGCACCGCGTCATCTGGCAAGGCAGTGGGCACCAAGTCACCAGGTACGACAGCGGGCTCTGAGTCAATTGGCACGACAGCGGGCACCGGATCAGGTACCGGATCATCTGGATCAACAGCGGGCATCGAGTCAACTGGCCTAATAGGATCGTCAGGCTGGATCAGTTCATCATGCTGGGTAGAGGCATCAGGCTGAATGCCGGTGTCCGGCTGAGTAGAGGCTTCAGGCTGAGTAGAGGCTTCAGGCTGAATAGAGGCTTCAGGCCGAGTAGAGGTGTTAGGAATGGACTGGCCAGCAATGGTGGGACTCACCTGCCTTTTGATCTGCAGTACCAGGGCTGGCCAGCGGGTGCTCCCAGCAATCAGAGACTCAACCTTTCAGCCAGCTAACACCTGGAACTGATGATACTGGGGTATTTAAGGGATGGCCAGACTTGCAGACTCTGCCTTGGTGTTGTGTTTGTCCTGGGCCCTGTATCTGTCCTGCATCCTGTTTCTGTTCCTTCGCTGACCCTGATCTGAACTGCTGCTGACTTCTCCTGCTCTGATCCTGGCTTGTGACCCTGACCACCCCTCTGTCTGACCCTCTGTACCTCGCTGCTTGCTACCTGCTGAACCTGGCCTGTGACCCCGACCATTCTCTGCTTGCTCCCCCTGTACCTACCTGCCCAATTGATATTGACCCGGCCTGCCTGACGACGCTTGCTTGTATATACTGTTTATTTGTGGGTGGTTTGGTTTGGTTTGTTTGCACTGTAGTATGTTTAGTATTGCCCTGCGTTTATGTTTGTATGGTTAGTGTTAATAAATTATATTGTTTATCACATTTCTGAAGTCTGCGTTTCCCTGCATCAGTCACACATCTCTGGTCATACCTGGGAGCCCTGACATTACACCAAGGCCAATCCTGACCAGAAGTGGCTGCACAGGGAAGCCATCTTGGCTTGTTGATGGGAAGGATGGATCTGGATGAGGTTGAATATTTATATCTGCTAGTGTTTGATGACAGGGAGTATGCTTATCAGACTCTGAAGGAGTATACCCGGGATGAACTGCTAGAATGTATACGGCTCGCTCATGTTCTAGTAGATCAGGGCATAGAGTTCTCTGAGGTGCAGCCTTTGATTGAAGTTTGTGTGCTGAATTGGTTTCATCTGGTTCCCCCGAATGCAGGGATGAATTTTTGCCACCATTTAGTGCAGACCAGGTAGAGTCCCTGGTGTGGTTATTAGAGGATGATGTGGGTTACTTTCTGGAGCGTTATTCCACATGTTCACCACAGGTACTAAGAGATTGTATAAACGCAGTGCAGTCATTGACCAGACAGGCTTTGTGTAAGCTCAGCTTTGTTCAACCCATACTGCAGACATGGACAGATTTGTTGCACCCAGCCTCAGTCAGCTTACAAAGACCCAGTCCTGCTTCTAATCTATTTCCTCAAAACTCTATTCCTGCATTCCCAACAGCTCCTCCTGCCCTGCTATCTACCGCATGTCAGTACCCTGTTCCCACTCGCTGCACCTATCCTGCCTTTAACCCTGTAAAAGAGCCCTCTGTAGCAACCGCTCCCTCTCCTGTTCCATCCTCCAGTTCTTCTCTGTCTCCAGCTGCTCCATTTGTTTGCAGACCTGCGTTTACTTGCAGTGCTCCAGTAGTTAAAACCAGAAAAAAGCGAAAATTCTTTCCAACCAATACCATCCTGCCAGTATCCAAACCGGTGAGCCTGCCTTCCGTGGTTCAGCCTGAAGCCTCTCTTCAGCCTGATGCCTGTATGCAGCCTGATGCCTCTCTTCAGCCTGATGCCTCTACTCGGCCTGAAGCCTCTACTCGGCCTGAAGCCTCTACTCGGCCTGAAGCCTCTACTCGGCCTGAAGCCTCTACTCGGCCTGATGCCTCTCTTCAGCCGGATGCCTCTCTTCAGCCTGAAGCCTCTCCTCAGCCTGAAGCCTCTCCTCAGCCTGAAGCCTCTCCTCAGCCTGATGCCTGCATTCAGCCTGATGCCGCTACTCAGCATGATGAACTGATCCAGCCCGACGATCCTATTAGGCCAGTTGACTCGATGCCCGCTGTTGATCCAGATGATCCGGTACCTGATCCAGTGCCCGCTGTCGTGCCAATTGACTCAGAGCCCGCTGTCATACCTGGTGACCCGGTGCCCACTGCCTTGCCAGATGACGCGGTGCCCGCTGGCAAGCCAAATGACCTGATGCCTGGTGACCCAGTGCCCGCTGTCATACCTGGTGACCCGATGCCCGCTGTCGAGCCAAATGACCTGATGCCTGGTGACCCAGTGCCCGCTGGTCCAGTCAGACGATCCAATGTCTGACCCAGTGCCCGCGGTCATACCAGTTGACTTGGAGCCCACTGCCTTGCCAGATGACGCGGTGCCCGCTGTCGAGCCAAATGACCTGATGCCTGGTGACCCAGTGCCCGCTGTCCAGTCAGACGATCCAATGTCTGACCCAGTGCCCGCGGTCATACCAGTTGACTTGGAGCCCACTGCCTTGCCAGATGACGCGGTGCCCGCTGTCGAGCCAAATGACCTGATGCCTGGTGACCCGATGCCCACTGTCCAGCCAGACCATACAATGTCTGACCCAGTGCCTGCGGTCATACCAGTTGACTCGGAGCCCACTGCCTTGCCAGATGACGCGGTGCCCGCGGTCGAGCCAAATGACCTGATGCCTGGTGACCCGATGCCCGCTGTCCGGTCAGACGATCCAATGTCTGACCCAGTGCCCGCGGTCATACCAGTTGACTCGGAGCCCACTGCCTTGCCAGATGACGCAGTGCCCGCTGTCGAGCCAAATGACCTGATGCCTGGTGACCCGATGCCCGCTGTCCAGCCAGACCATACAATGTCTGACCCAGTGCCTGCGGTCATACCAGTTGACTCGGAGCCCACTGTCGTGCCTGGTGACTCGGTGCCCCGCCGCTCCGCCTGGGGGCCCGAGACCTGTTGCTCCGCTTGGGGGTCCAGCGCCCGCCGCTCCGCCTGGGGATCCGGCGCCCGCCCGCCGCCCCGCCTGGGGGCCTGAGACCTGTCGCTCCGCCTGAGGGTCCGAGACCTGTCGCTCACCTGGGGGTCCGGCGCCCGCCGCTCCGCCTGAGGGCCCGAGACCTGTCCGCTCCACCTGGGGGTCCGGCGCCCGCCGCCGCTCCGCCAGGGCCCGAGACCTGTCGCTCCACCTGGGGGTCCGGCGCCCGCCGCTCCCCCTGAGGGCCCGAGACCTGTCGCTCCACCTGGGGGTCCGGCGCCCGCCGCTCCGCCTATGGGCCCGAGACCTGTCGCTCCGCCTGGGGGTCCGGCGCCCGCCGCTCCGCCTGAGGGCCCGAGACCTGTCGCTCCGCCTGGGGGTCCGGCGCCCGCCGCTCCGCCTGAGGGCCCGAGACCTGTCGCTCCACCTGGGGGTCCGGCGCCCGCCGCTCCGCCTGAGGGCCCGAGACCTGTCGCTCCTCCTGGGGGTCCGGCGCCCGCCGCTCCGCCTGAGGGCCCGAGACCTGTCGCTCCGCCTGGGGGTCCGGCGCCCGCCGCTCCGCCTGAGGGCCCGAGACCTGTCGCTCCGCCTGGGGGTCCGGCGCCCGCCGCTCCGCCTGGGGGCACGATGCCTGTCGCCCCGATGCCCTGTCGCCCCGCCTGGGGGCCCGATGCCTGTCGCCGCCCGCCTGGGGGCACGATGCCTGTCGCCCCGCCTGGGGGCACGGTGCCTGTCGCCCCGCCCGGGGGCCCGGTGCCTGTCGCCCCGCCCGGGGGCCCGGTGCCTGTCGCCCCGCCCGGGGGCCCGGTGCCTGCTGCTCCGCCCGGGGGGGGCCGGTGCCTGCTGCTCCGCCCGGGGGCCCGGTGCCTGCTGCTCCGCCCGGGGGCCCGGTGCCCTGCTGCTCCGCCCGGGGGCCCGGTGCCTGCTGCTCCGCCCGGGGGCCCGATGCATGTCCCCCCGCCCGGGGGCCCGGTGCCTGCTGCTCCCGCCCGGGGCCCCGCCCGGGGCCCGGTGCCTGCTGCCTTCCGCCCGGGGGCCCGGTGCCTGCTGCTCCGCCCGGGGGCCCGGTGCCTGCTGCTCCGCCCGGGGGCCCGGTGCCTGCTGCTGCCCGCCCGGTGGCCCGGTGCCTGCTGCTGCTCCGCCCGGTGGCCCGGTGCCTGCTGCTCCGCCCGGGTGGCCCGCTGCCTGCTGCTGCTCCGCCCGGGGGCCCGGTGCCTGCTGCTCCGCCTGGTGGCCCGCTGCCTGCTGCTTCGCCTGGTAAACCGATGTGCCTCTGCCCGGAGTCCTGCCCGATGTGCCTCTGCCCGGAGTCCTGCCCGATGTGCCTCTGCCCGGAGTCCTGCCCGATGTGCCTCTGCCCGGAGTCCTGCCCGATGTGCCTCTGCCCGGAGTCCTGCCCGATGTGCCTCTGCCCGGAGTGCTGCCCGATGTGCCTCTGCCCGGAGTCGGGAGTCCTGCCCGATGTGCCTCTGCCTGATGTGCCTCTGCCCGGTGTGCTGCCCGATGTGCCTCCCGATGGCCCGGAGTCCCTGCCTGATGTGCCTCTGCCTGATGTGCCTCTGCCTGATGTGCCTCTTCTGCCCGGTGTGCCTCTGCCCCGGTGTGCCTCTGCCCGATGTGCCTCTGCCCGGAGTGCTGCCCGATGTGCCTCTGCCCGGAGTGCTGCCCGATGTGCCTCTGCCCGGAGTGCTGCCCGATGTGCCTCTGCCCGGAGTCCTGCCCGATGTGCCTCTGCCCGGAGTGCTGCCTGATGTGCCTCTGCCTGATGTGCCTCTGCCTGGTGTGCCTCTGCCTGGTGTGCCTCTGCCCGGTGTGCCTCTGCCCGGTGTGCCTCTGCCCGATGTGCCTCTGCCCGATGTGCCTCTGCCCGATGTGCCTCTGCCCGATGTGCCTCTGCCCGATGTGCCTCTGCCCGATGTGCCCTCTGCTCGAATGTGCCTCTGCCCGGAGTCCAGCCCGGTGTGCCTCTGCCCGGAGTCCTGCCCGGTGTGCCAGTCTTTGATATCCCGCCAGTTACCAGACCCGGGCGGTGGAACATTTTGCCCAGCTAGGACTGTTTGGAGCGTCCTGAGGCCGCTCCTTGAGGGGGGGGTACTGTTAGGAATGGACTGGCCAGCAATGGTGGGGATCTCACCTGCCTTTTGATCTGCAGTACCAGGGCTGGCCAGCGGGTGCTCCCAGCAATCAGAGACTCAACCTTTCAGCCAGCTAACACCTGGAACTGATGATACTGGGGTATTTAAGGGATGGCCAGACTTGCAGACTCTGCCTTGGTGTTGTGTTTGTCCTGGGCCCTGTATCTGTCCTGCATCCTGTTTCTGTTCCTTCGCTGACCCTGATCTGAACTGCTGCTGACTTCTCCTGCTCTGATC